GTGCACATTGTTTTTTCGATTGAAGTGCCCTTCCCATGGCTCGCACCTTGTTTTTTTAATCAGGGAAAGTCTTGAGCGTCAAACTGTGTCGCTGGCCCCCGGTTGACAACAACAACGGCTCCCGCCTGAGACGTCCTCACAATTTAGCCAGGACCCCCGCTCCCGCCCGAGACTTCCTCGCGTTTGATTCAGGACTCGCGCTCTCGCTTGGGACTTCCTTAGAAGTTATTCTCCCGGCGCTCTGGAGTCCCGCTCTCGCTGGAGACTTGCTTGCAATTTCCTGAAGAATAGTGCCCTTGCGTTGGAATTTCTTGCAATTTACTCAAGCGCCGCTCTCCCGACACCCGGGCACCCAGGAGTCGCGCTAACGCTTAGGACTCCCTCACAGATTACATAGGAATCGGGATCTCGCTGCCCTTCGTGGCCCCGTTGCAGCCCTTCGTGGCCCCCTCGCTTTGTTTCGTGGCCCCGTTGCAGCCCTTCGTGGCCCCCTCGCTGCCCTTCGTGGCCCCGTTTCAGCCCTCGTCGCCTCCTCGCTTTGTTTCGTGGCCCCGTTGCAGTCCTTCGTGGCGCCCTCGCTTTGTTTCGTGGCCCCGTTGCAGCCCTTCGTGGCCCCGTCGCAGCCCTTCGTGGCCCCGTTGCAGCCCTTCGTGGCCCGCTCGCTGCCCTTCGTGGCCCCGTTGCATCCCTTCGTGGCCCCCTCGCTGCCCTTCTTGGCCCCATATATGGTCCAGGGCTTTGGCCCCCCCCCCCCCCCCCAATGCTGATGCCACTGGGCCCCCCCCCCCCGCGCGATGGTTCCCCCCCGCCCCCCCCTGTGGGCGTGGCGTGGTGCTGCGCTGCGGTGCCTCCCCCCCCCCCCCCTGTGGATGTGGTGTGGTGCTGTGGTGGTTCAGAAGTGGGCGTGGCGTGGTGCTGCGCTGCGGTGCCCCCCTCCCCCCCCTGTGGATGTGGTGTGGTGCTGTGGTGGTTCAGAGGTCGTCGTCGTCGTCGTCCTCGTCGTCCTCGTCGTCCTCGTCGTCGTCGTCGTCGTCATCGTCGTCGTCGTCATCGTCGTCGTCGCCGTCGTCATCGTCGTCATCGTCGTCGTCGCCGCCGCCGCCGGCGTCGTCGCCGCCGCAGCCGTCGTCGTCGTCGTCGTCGTCGTCGTGGTCGTCGTCGTCGTCGTCGTCGCCGTCGTCGTAGTCGTCGCCGTCGTCGTCGTCGTCGTCGTCGTCGTCGTCGTCTATGGGACCATACCATCGGGGGGGGGGCGAGGAATCCTGGGACCATACCAGCTGGGGGGGGGGGCCCGTGGGCCTGGAGCCCGGGACCATATATGTATGCCTTTCGTAGCCCCCGCTCGTTCGCGCCCGTGGTGGCCCCATGTGCATCTGTCCTGCGTGGCCCAGTTGCTACTCTCAGTGGCCCCATCGTTGCCTTCTGTGGCCCTGCATTATCTGCCCTTCGTGGCCCCCGCTCCTTCGCTCTTCGTGGCCCCATACGCATTCTCTTCGTGTCCCCGCTGTTGCCCTTCGTGGCCTACTTCGTGTCCTTGTGGCCCTGCTGTCGTTCTCTTTCGCTCTCGCTTTCGCTCGCCGTCGTCGTCGTCGTCGTCTTCGTCGTCGTCGTCGCCGTCGTCGTCGACGTCGTCGTCGTGGTCGGTCCCCTGTCCGTCCCTCTTGGGGTCGGGTCGACGGTCCGCGGCCGCCCCGCCGATCAGCGCTGCCGCTGGCCAGGCCGACGGTCCGCGGCCGCCCCGCCGCTTGCCGGGGCCCGGCCTGCAGGGAAGAAAGGTATATCCCCCACAAGGGGTTCGATCGAAAACGAAGGGGGCGGGTATCGAGGGTTTGGGAAATAGGCGTTATTGGACACTCGAGCAGATAAGAACGATCAGTCTTAAAATGATTGCTGCTGTTGTTGTTGTTGCTGTTGCTGTTGCTGTTGGTGTTGTTGTTGCCGTTGTTTTTGTTTTTGTTGTTGATGTTGTCGGTGTTGTTGTTGTTGTTGTTGTTGTTGTTGTTGTTGTTGTTGTTGTTGTTGTGTTTGTTGTTGTTGTCTTTGTTGTTGTTGTTGTTGTTGTTGTTGTTGCTGTTGCTGTTGTTACTGTTGTTGCTGTGGTTGTTGTTGTCGTTGCTGCTGTTGTTGTTGTCGCCCCCCCGCGACCCGGCCCGCGACCCACCCGCGACCCACCCCGCGACCCACCCGCGACCCACCCCGCGACCCGCTCGCGACCCACCTCGCGACCCACCCGCGACTCACTTCGCGACCCACCCGCGACCTCGCCCGCGACCCACCGTCGACCCACCCGCGGCCCACCTGCGACCCAACCCGGGATCCACCTGCATTGTTTTAAAATCGGCGCCTGCAGCGGGCTCGTCGTATAGCTTGACAAGCTTGCGCCTGCGGCGGGCTTCTTCAGGGCCTCGCAGACTGCAGACGGCCCCGCCGCCCCCTCGCTGTCATCCGCGACTGCGGGGTGCTGCGAATTTCTGCGATGCCGGACTGGGAAGGCCTCGGGCTGCGCGCAGGCAGCTTCCCCCGCTGGCCTCCACGGGCCCCGCGAGCAGTCCCAGCTGGCCTCCACACTCTCCCTGGCCAGTCCAGGGCGGTCTCTGATGGGCCTGTTTTCCACCACCACCACCACCACGTGTTCGAGGGGGAGGGCGTCCTCCTTCTCTTCCTCCTCCTTTTCCTCCTCCTCCTCTTCCTCCTCTTCCTCCTCCTCCTCCTCCTCCTCCTCCTCTTCATTGGTTTTACGCCGCAAGGGGGCGTCGTTGAGAGGGTGCCTGGCACGGATGCGGGGATCGGGGTGGCGTTGGTGTTTGGAGTTGGCGGTTTGCGTGGCACGCGCGTTTAGCTGGTCGCATTTGTTCGGAACGCGTGACGGGTGGAAAGGCCGCTCACCAGCAACTGGCAGTCCTCTGCCCGCGGGCCAGAACGAATCGTCGCGCGCTCGCAACGGGGCGTGGGAAAAGGGGGTTGGGAAGAGAGCGCGAGTCTCATTCCCAATAAGTCCCTTTGATGTGCAGCAAACAAGTATTTTTCGATTCAGTTGCCGATCGGCCAACCAAGCGAACGAACAACTGTCCCCGCGCCCAGCGTTAGCTTCGCTTGCGCGCGTCCTGGCTTCGTTCCGTTGTTTCCGTCGGTTCTTTCTCGCCCTCCTCTTCCTTTTCCTTTTCCCCTGCTTTGCCTTGTCCCGCCCCCCCTTCCTTTTCAGCTCGGAGCTGTCGCCGCGCGCGAAGAGCGCAACCCAAAGGGCGTTGCTGTAATTCCTTTGTGTGCCACGAAGTCTCGCGTAATTCCTCTTTGTACGGTCTGGTTGCACTGCCAACGCGGGGGGCGGACAAAGGAATTCCCTTTGTGTACGATCGTTTTCGCCGCCCCCACAAGAGCACGCGCGATTTCTTTGTGTAGAGCTTGCTTTCCCGCCTCGAGGAGCGCGCGGGGCCTGGCGGTACAATCGCAAGGCCGCCTTGTTTGGCAGTGCGATGCAGCTGCGGCGGATACCACGGCCAAAACGATCCTACGTGGATTTAGGCTCTTCTGCCGAATTCGCACTGGCAGCTGGCCAGCCACATCGCCGGCCCAGCGTGCCCGCGCGCGCTATTGCGTTCTGCTGCCGCGACGCGTGCAGCTGTCAACGGATGAGCAAACTGACGTTGCACGGTGGTTTGGCTGTGCCAAACCACCATGGAATGTTTGTTCGTAGCGGGTCGTGGGATTTTTCGCCGCCGACAACCTTGCCACGCCATACATGTTAACAGCATCCTAGAGCACGGCCGTGCATCCTAGAGCACGGATCGGTGGGGATCCAGGGATCCAGTGGCATGTGTGCACATGCGCTGCACCTTTCGTGGTGCCAAAACCCTTTGTGTGAATTTCCTTTTTGTGCGTTTTTTTTTTTCTGGCTCCTATCTTCGTCCTCCTCCTGTTCGTCCTTCCCCACTCCAACTTATGGTGGTGGTGGTGGAAAACAGGCCCATCAGTGCACACGCCTCATTTTTGGGGTGCGGAGCGCACCAGTTGCGCCGCCGGAGGCGGTGCCGGGGGGGGTCGCGACCGCCCTGGGCTGCTCGGGGGGCCTGTGCAGGCCAGCTGGGGCTACCTCGTGGGGGCCCGTTGAGGCCGGGCCGGGAGTTCTGGAGGGCCGACCGTCTTGCACTGTTTCTCGGGAGGGGAGCCAGGCACAGGTACAACAGAACGTCGATGTCCAAGAACCTGTCGGGAATTGATGGCAACGAAGGGGGAGACGAAGGTCCAGACAGCATTGAGAAATTCTGGGGATCCTGAAGTTTGTTTCTTACTGCGAAGGCCTTCTTATGGTTGGTGTCGCCCACATTGAAGGGGGACGACGAAGAGGACGAGGGCGACGACGACGACGACGCTCTCAAGCCCTTGTGAGTGCCCTTGCGGGCCCTGCTTGCCTCGGGTCCCCCCCCCCGGACCTCCCAGGACCGCCTCCGCCGAAACCCTCCCCCCTGGGGGCCGCTTTCTGGGACCTCCCCCCCCCGGCGGGTATTTTCCTTTGTGCCTCCCTGGGCCCGTTTATACGCTGATCTTGGCAGTAACTATCTTCTGGATCCACGGATCCCAATCTACTTCAAGCGCCTTCCTACGTCAAGTGCCGATGTTGCTTTTGTTGTGGCTTGCTACTCTTTGAGAGGGTCCGAACCCGCCTCCTACTTCATGTCTTTCCGCCTCCTGCTTCATGTCTTTACCGCCTTCTACTTTCGCCGCCTCGTACTTCATGCCTTTACCGCCTTCTTCCGACTGACCCTTTTTTTTCCGGGAGGGAAACCGCACAGCCACAATTAACCGTCGATTTCCAGGAAAGGATTGAACGTATAGAAAGTGGCGGGGAAGACGACAACCCAGAACACAGGAAAGTATGGGGTGCCCTGGGATTTGTGTCGATGTATCTGAGATCAGTCTGTCCCTGGCCCCCCTCAGTTTCACCACGCCGCCGAAACGCGGCGCTGCTCGATCCGCCGCCGACGGATCCCGCCGCCCGCCAGGCTGGGTCGGGGCTGGCGGCCCTCCTGCTCGGGCCGGCAGCGTTGCCCAAGGCCGGAGGGCGGCCCGCACGTTCTGCTGCTCGTTTTCCCTCCTCCCGTCTAAGGTGAAGAGGCGGCACACACAGAATCTTTCGGCCCCTCCCCTCGGCCCCCTCCCCCTCCTCCTGCGCCCTCCACAATTACTCAATATGAATACGACTCTCCCTCTTCCCCTGATGACGGCCTCAAAGTGTCCGACCCCCCCCCCGCGGTTTGTGTTTTTACACGCAGGTTTCCCCGGAATTTGGTTTCCGCCTGCATTTTTTTCAAAATGCTGCTCTCGCTGAGGCGCCGGCCTCATTTTCGGGCCCCGCTCGTTCCGAACCGTGCTCCCGCTGCAGCGCTGGCCTCATTTCCGTGCTTCCGCTCGTTCCGAATCGTGCTCCCGCTGCATCGCTGGCCTCATTTCTGCGCTTCCGCTCGTTTCGACTCGTGCTCCCGCTGCAGCGCTGGCGTCATTTCCCGTGCCATGCCACGGCATGCAATGCAATGCTCGGTTGATACTACGCTTCGCGGTGCTCGTCTGCGCCATGCCAGGCCGTGCTCTACAATGCATCGCGTACCCTTTCGGGATCATTGCCCTGCTCGACATCCGGCTGTGCGAGTAGAGAGGGGATCTGCGCCATGGTAAGGGATGGGAGGGAGGGGTAGTATGTCAGATATGACGCGAGCGCACCTAGCTTGCCCTACCCCCTCCCCCTCTACCGAGGCGACCGACGACACGACGACGACGAGGAGGAGGACGACGACGACGACCACGACGACGACGTCGACGACGACGACGACGACGACGACCGACCACGACGACGACGACGAGGAGGACGACGACGACCACGACTGACCACGACGACGACGACGACTGACCACGACGACGACGACGACGAAGACGACGACGACGACGACGACGACGACCACGACTGACCACGACGACGACGACGACGACGACTGACCACGACGACGACGACGACGACGACGACGAGGACGGCGACGACTGACCACGACGACGACGACGACGACGACGACTGACCACGACGACGACGACGACGACCACCACGACGACGACGAGGACGGCGACGACGATGATGACGATGACGACGACGACGACCGCCGAAGAAGAGGAGAATTTACGCAACGATCCCAACTGATCTAACTTTTCCTGGGATCCAGAATAGAAGAACAACAAACATTTTAAACATACACTTTCGGCGCTCCGCGCGGATATCTTGGATCGGCGCTGGGGCCCCCTGGCGGCGCCTCCGACGCCGCCCTTGGTGCGCTCCGCGCGCCAGGGGAGGGGGTTCAGCGCAGCTCCAAGAAATCCGCGCGGACCTCCAGAAACTATGTGTTTGCAGGTTTCGTTCCTTCTATTCTGGACGCTAGGCCAAGTTAGATCGGCTGGGATCGTTGCTTCAATGCTCCTCCTCATTTTTCCTCCTCCTCGGCGGTCGTCGTGGTCGTCGTCGTCGTCACAGTCGCCTCGGTAGGGAGAGAGGGGACGAAGAAGGGTGCATGAGGAGGGGGAGGGGGCGGAGGGTGAGGAGGGTGGGGGGGGGGGGGAGGGAGGTCCTCCCATGCTTCGCCGCTCCCTCCGCTCGAGCAAGAGCCAGGGCTCGCGTGCCGCTTGCCAATTTTTTATTGCCTGCGGAGGCCTCACGGGGCCGCCTGGGATCTCCCGAGAACCCTTGGGGACTCCTCGGGACCCTTGGGTTAAGTCGGGCACGTTATTCAGCAGGGGGAATATTCAAAACGAGTTCAAACATAGTTTGGGGACGAATGTTTGAATATTTTTGATCATTGTGGATTATGTATGGACTATGTTTAATTTTTCGTACAAATTCCGCCTGTAGGGGAAAATGCCCGACCTAACTCTTGGGGGACCACGCCACGGAGCGACTTGAAAACAGTCGGCCCGCATTTGTTCCACAGTGTTTGTGGTCTTGGGGCCATTTCAGGACTCGTGGCCGTAACCAGAGCGCCAAGCGCGAAACGCCGAGTCCGGAGAAGAGCTCGAGAGCTTCCCGTGTCCACGGCTGGATCCGCCTCGGGGTTTTGGCAATGGCGCTCTCCATCACATGTCCAGGGGTCGTCTTTGAGCTCCTGGACATAATCAGGCGTCGCGTTTCTCTCAGGTTGGAGACGACGTTGACCACATGGCGAAAAGTTTGACCACGTGGCGATGACGATGACCACTGCGATAACGTTGACCATTTGGCGATATCGTTGATGGTGGTGGTGATGATCATTTTGCGATATCGTTGATGGTGGCGCGTTTTGTGATCTTGACGGTGATGCTGATAACGGCGACAATGATTACGATGTCGATCTTGATGTCGGGCACCAAGGAGACGGCCGAGCACCCGCAGGGCGAGCAGCAGGAGAGCGAGGCCGAGGCCGGGATGGGCTGCGCGGCCTCACCATGCGTGCATTGCCCTGCTGTTCGAGGGCTCCCCGACGGTGTGTCCACACCGCGTGGTGAGTCAGTGGGGACGGGAGTCGGCTGTGGGGCCGAGGGCAGAGGTGGCCCACCACGGGGTTGCGGCCAGCAGGACAAGGGGGGAAGAGGTTCGATGTAATGTGTCCGGGAAGGTTGTTTCTGCCTTTGTCGGCCTCCGGGGGGTGCTTTCGGAGCACGCGGGAGCGCCAGAAAAGGGATCCGGGGGAAACATTGGCCCCAGATGGACCCCGGGAAAGGTGGCCGAGTTGACGCGGACCTGGCCTCATCCTCCCCGCTCCTCGTGCTCCTCCCCTCGTCGTCGTCGGCGTCGTCGTCCTCGTCCCTCTCGTCGCGCTCCTCCCCTCTCCCCCTGCTCTCTCCTCCAGGATCTCGAGCCGTGAGGTGGGATCTCCCCCTTTCAGGGTTCGCTTCGACTCCTCCGATGCGATTCGATTCGAGTTCGGTGGCTGCCGATTCCAGTTCGGTTCGGCCTTGGGCTCCGATGTGGGCTCCGATGTCTCAGTGGAGGCCTTTGAGCCTGCCGATTTCCGCCGATGGGATTTCTCCCGTCTCGCCAGCCGAGTTCTGCCGATCCGTCTCGTTTCGATCGCCGATCCGACATGTTTCGACTCTGGACTCTGCTGGCCTTTCCTGCTCCTCTCGAGCCTCTGCTTTCCGTTCCTGCTCTCCTGTCCTCCCAGGGCCTTGAGAGGCTGGGCCCGTGTCGGGCATCATTCTCTTTGGGCGCCGCAGCTTCGTGGGGACCCCCCGCGCGTGCTGGACCCAATCTGCGCTGGATCGATCGCCGATCTGGCTTCTCGATCCGGTTCTGGCCAGCGGAGAGTCTCGCGTTCTTGGAGGATGCTCGTCTGCCCTAGGTCCGACTGCATCGTTGTCCTCCTCCCCCTTGCTCTTCGCTCCCCAGGGTCTTGGAGCCGCGAGGTGGGGCCCCCCCCATCGTGCCACCCCGGGGCCACGCCTGCGGCCGCCGCCCCTCCTCGGGGGCGGCCGAGAGGGGGGTGGAGACTGGAGGGGTGGGTGGAGCTCATGGCGTGGGCCAGGACGTCTCCCCAGACTTCTTCTCGTTTAACTTCCGTCCCCGGCCATGCCCCCCTGGGCCTCGCACATGCCGCCGGCCATGCTTTGCGCCCCACCCTCTTGGGCGCCCCCCTCTCGGCCGCCCCCGGCCTCCTCCCTCCGTTTCCCCCCCCCCCCCCCCAGGGTGGACGGTGGGGGCCCGCGGTGTTTGTGTGTTGGCATCGCTCGGGCGTGTGCTTGTTTCGGCGAGGGCCGTTGAGGAGCATCCTGGATCATCGGGCAACAAAAATCAACACGCACGAAGCTGAACCATGCATCGGGAATGGACGCCCGAGCGACGGAACACTGTTCGACGGGCAGGACGGGATACGATCGCTGCCATCCCTGTCTGAGAGCTCCACGAGCTCCACGCGCGCGGCCTCCCCGAAGGGGGGCCCAGACGGCGCCGCAGGGCTGGACGCTTCCTCCTTCCGAGTCGATCTGATCCTTCCCCCCCTCTACCCGAGCAACTTTCCAAGGCTACCCTTGCATCCTTCCCCCTTCGGCTCATCCTGGGCAACTTTCGCTGGCCAGCCCCGTTCCAGAAACGCCAGCATGGCCCTCCATGGCCCTTGCATCCTTACCGCGCATCCTTACTGTGCGACCTGACTGTAACCACTTAAACTCTTTAGTTTTGTCCCCTCCCCTCCCCTTTCGGCGGTGAATATTACTGGTCCTAATTTCTCCTCCTCCTCCTCCTCTTTCTCCTCCTCCTCCTCTTTCTCCCTTCTCCACCCTCTCCCTCCTCCTCCTCCTCCTCCTTCGGAATGACACGAGAAACACGTATTTAGGTACCCCTTATTGGTGGGACCACAGTCCTTCAACAAGGCCGCCGTCAAATCATCAGTTACCTCCTATTGGGGGGGGTCTAAAGACCTTTCAGGGTTACCTCCTCCCCCTCTTCGCCCTCCTGCTGCTCCCTCCTGCCCTGCCCGTCCTTCCCTTGCCCTGCTCTTCCTCCTGTCCTCATGCTCCCTCGTTCTCCTCTTGCTCCTCCTCCTCCTCCTCCTCCTTTCCCTTCGAAGGACCCCATAGCTGCCCTGATCCTTAACTTGAAGCGTGCAGGTCTCTCGTTTCTGGATCCGTGGGCCCTCCAAGAGTTTGCCGACGTTCAGTGGGACATGGGGGAGGTGTCCCCCGCCTTTGCGTCGCGTCGTGCCACGTATGCGGCCAGGCGACTGTCCGATCGGACGGGCTTGGCAGGGAGATATTGTTTGGCGCCCTTTGACTCAGTGCCTCCATCTCAAGGTCGCTGAAGATGAGTAGGCCCTGGAGGGTACTGGGGGGACTTGGGGCTTCAGGGAGCAGCGGACCTTGAGAGGCCTGGTCATAGGCTCACACAGGTGCCAGCATCGGTTGCACCAGCATGACCCCCCAGTTTTCAAGTGCGTGCCTGCTCTGTCGTGAAGATGGTACATTGTTTCATTATCATTGTTGCTGCCCTGCGCGAGACGCTTGGCGCAGAGACAGCCCCCCTCCTGATGTCAAAGCTGCTGCTCGTCGTTGGGAAAATTCATACCGTGGACCTCCAGGAGCGTTTGCCAGAGGCATCCTCCCTGATCCATGCAAGCTTCTCGCGCGCCGTCCTTGGGACTCAGCGTGTGAGTCCATGGTTGAGAGGAAGGATGCGCCGCTGGTGCAAAAAGGAGGCCACGTCTTTGGTGATGGGTCTGACCTTGATCGCTTGTTCCCCTCCTTCCGCCTGGCTGGATGGGGGATTGCTGTCTATGAGCAGGACAGCCGTGTTCTTGAAGGCTAGTATGGGGCGTTTCCGCCCTCTCTCTGCCCTGATCAGGTTGCCAGGTGCGGTGAAGATTTTGCGATGTTGATGGCCACCTCCCATATAGACGGGGAATTTACTTTGTGCTCGGACTGTAAGGTCACGTTGCAGTGTTGCTCTGACTCGCGTTTTGCTCGCAGATCTGCCAACCCGCGCGTGTACCTGTGGAGGCGGATCTTTCGCGATGGATATTTCGAGCTGATACAGTGGAAACAAGTCGGAGCGCACTCGACCATGATCGAGTTGCGAGAAGGCCGCGTTTCAGAATTCGAGAGGACGGGAAATTCTGAAGCAAATCGGCTGGCTAAAGCAGGCGCGGCCTTGAGCCGCCACGACAGTCAGACAGTTCGCCTGGTCGAAAGCATGCTGGTGCTGGGCAGGCAACTCGTCGGGTTTGTGACTCGGGCCGAGGTTTTTTACTCGGAGGACGGGCGTTTCGACAACATAGGGGCCCAGGGCCTCACTTTGGTGTCCCCTCAGGACCCCCTCGATGGCCCTCCAGAGCCCGCCGAGGCCATCTGTCTCGAGCTCTCGAGGCTTGCGGAGGACGCCCTGGAGGCAAGGGGGACATGTGCTGCTCGAGTCCCCACGGCCAGGCCCCGCTGATGTTCTGTCCCTCGTGAGGGGGATTTGCGACTACCTCCGCGAGGGCCCGGGGCCTTAGGGCCAGCTGTTTGGGTCCCAAGCCGCGCTGCTCGATCCTGGGCGGAAAAACAAGCGGGCTTTTTTGAATTCTAAGCATCCCAGCCGTGCCCAAAGGCTGGGCCCCTGGCGGTCTCCTGGGGCGAGGGCGTGGGAGCTCTTTCGGGGGTCCTTTGAAGAGCCAGGGGCCCAGCTTGGTGGTGCGGGGAGCGGTTCTGCTTCTGGCCTGCGCACTGGGCGCCGTTCGTGCCTAGCCGAGTGCCTCCAGGCTTGTCGGTTGAATGAAGCTGAGGCGGATAGCCTCGCAGACCAGCATCGAGTCAGAGAAAGGGGCCTCGAAGGGAACGATGGTGAGTTTTTTTCCTAGGGGGGCCCTGTCGCTGGCCTTCGGCGCGCTGCCTATGCCGAGCCGCGCCGAGGTGACAAAAGGGCCCCCCTCTGACGGCCCCCCTTGGGGGTTTTGGCTTTACAGTCGGAACTCTATCTCTCTCTCTCACTCTTTCTCCCTCAGTGGCGTGCGATCCTCCTCCCCCTCCTCCTCCTCCTCCTCCTCCTCCTCCTCTGGAGCCGTCTGGGGTCTGAGGTGGCCCCGCACTGGTTCCGGCCAGCAGGGAAGGCAGGCAGGTTCGAGGCCCTGGATCAGGGAAGGTTTTTGGCCTTTTGCGTCCTCTGGGGGCCGTTATCGGGCTCCGGGACCGTGAGAAGTGAATCGGGGGCGGGGAACTGCACCAGGTGGACCCCGGGAGGGGTCCGGGGACCGATTTTGAGCGCATTTGGTTCACCCTCTGTGACCGATTCAGGGGTCCAGACCACTTCTGACCCCCAGCGGCCTCCAACTCCTCCTCCTCCTCCTCCTCATCCTTCCGGCCCTCCTGTCATCCTCACCACCAGAAGTTTCGCCTGTGGCCTGCGTTGTCCAAGGGAGTCAGGGCCTGACGCTAACATTCGCCCAGACAGAATCCATCCCGCCCTCACCTCGTCCACCTCGTCGTCCTCCTCGCCCTCCTCGTCTTGTCCCCTTAGAGTGTGTTTCACGATGCGCTGCTCACTGTTTCGGCCCAGAGCCCTGCCGGGGAGGAGGACTTGCGCCGCCTCCCTGCGGCCCGCTGCCCTGTCCTGTCCTGGTCTCCCTCTTACCCCCACGGCCGCGCCACTGCACCTCTGGGCTCCGCGCAGGGGATGACCCTAGACGCCGACGCCGACATCGACGAGGAGGCGCTGGCAAAGGACTGCGGCTCCCACGCCGTCTGCTGCTGCTGCTGCTGCTGCTGCCGCCGCCGCTGCTGCTGCTGCTGCTGCTGCTGCTGCTGCTGCTGCTGCTGTCGCCTGCCAGCGCCTTTCCCGCCTTTGCCGCCGCTGCTGCGGCTGCTGCCGCTGCCGTGCTCGCTGCCGCCGCCGCCCTCGCCGCTGCGGTCGCCGCCGCCGTTGCCGTCGTGTCCGCCGTCGGTGTTCTTTCGCCCGCAGCGCGCGGGCAGCGTGGTGGCCCGCGTGCGCACCGAAACCACAACCGCAACCTCGTGCTCCCCTGGCGATGCCGCAGAGCGTCTCGGTAGGCTTCTCAAGGGGCAAGACCCTCCCTGGTATTTCACAACGTCTTGATCGCATGACACCCCCAAACGTGAAACAAACGCACCCAACGATTTCTTGTTTGCGACATCGCGCGGGCGCCGTTTGAACACGAAAGCGAGAAGGACCGCATCTTGTAATCGAGCAGCTCTTCATCATATCGTGGGTGCCCAATTGCAGGCACGCGGGCAACGCGTCGCGTCCTCCCGCCAGGGCGACCTTGAGGGGCAACTGCGCGTTCACTCACCTGGCCGCGACGTTTCAGCGCGATCGCAACGAGTGCCAACGGGGCCGCATTTCCCGTAAAGCGTCGGCCACGCTGGGGCCGAAATGGGAACGCGGGCAGATCGCGGGGTGTCCGTGCGAAAAGGGGCAATTGGGAGACGCGGGAGGAAGGGCAACACATAAAGATATGAAGAGGCAGGGCGGACGTCCCCCTCTTCCTCCTTGCCCCCCTCCGCGCCACCTGCCAAAAAAGAGGGCCTTCCCCAGCGCTTGTCGCGTTGCACCAAGAGCAAAGAGAACCCGACGCCGCGGCCTCGCAGAGAAGGTTACCGCGGCCCTCTGCGTCGAAGATCGCCTAGACTTGAGCGTTTTGTTCCGCGCTGAACCCTTGCAGCCCGTGCCAGGGAAGAACGACCATGCTTCGCACTTGTAAATCTTTTCCACGACTGCAAAGAAAACCGTTGATATCCGAGAGAGAAGCCTTCACGTTTCAGCGTCCCGGCGGGGAAACACCAAGGCGCCGCTTCGCGCGCGCACGACGGCGCGCGCGCGCTGGGGTCCCGCGCCATGGTGGAGCTCCCTATGGGGCCGCGATCCTCGTGCGGGGGGGGCAATTGAGCCCGCGTGCGGAACCTGCCACTAGGGCCATCGGTCGAGCTCCCATGTGGGCCACGATCCTCGTGAGGGGTGCGCCGAACATGGGCGAGGCGACCACGTGCTGACCCTGCCGCAGGGAGCTTCGGTGGAGCTCCTTAGGGGGCCACGATCCTCGTGAGGGGCGTGCCTGCGTGGGCGCGGGACCCACGTGCGGACCCCGCGCCTTGGGTTTTCGGTGGAAGTCCACAGTCCTCGTGAGGGGTGTGCCGAGAATGGGTGCAGAGCCCGCGTGCGGACCCCGCCGCTGGGGCCATGGGTGGAGCTCATTATGGGGCCGCGATCATCGCGAGGGGTGCGCCGAGATTGATGCAGAGAGCCCGCGTGCGGACCCTGCCGCCGGGGCCTTCGGTGGGGCCCCCTGCGGCATTGGGGATCCGTGTGAGGGCCGTGCCGACAGGGATGCGGAGCCCGTGTGCGGTCTTTGCCGCCGGGGCCTTCGGTGGAGCTCTCCACGGGGCCAGGATTCGCGTGCGGAACCTGCCGGTGGGCTCCCCACCTGGGATTTGGGCCCCGTTGGTGGGCTGCGAGGGCGATGTCTTACCCCGTCTTCCCCCCTCCTCCTCCTCCTCCTCCTCCTCCTCCTCCTCCTCCTCCTCCTCCTCCTCCTCCTCCTCCTCCTCCTCCTCCTCCTCCCCCTTTCCTCTTTGGGCAAGAGCCGTGGCACACGTGCCACGTATCATGATTCCTAGTCTTTTTTTATCATTAGTATTATGGTAATTAGTATTTTCTTTTTTTTCCGGCACATGTTATCCTATTTATCATACGTCGCATTTTCAGTCTTATTTTTCATTCTCATTTCTTGGCGTTCTTGGCCTTCTTAGTGTTGTTCTAGTTGTTAGTCGTATGGTGTTTGCCGTTGTCATTGCTCTTATTAATATCCTGCTTCTTATGCGTGGCAGTATTAGTTTCAGTTGTATTATTAATCATAGTTTCAAAAGTATTACTACACGTGTGTTCATCATTATTACCATCATTTTCTTGTTCATTTTCATCTTCGTTTCATGCTCCATGGTTTCCATATGTGTATTTGTTAGGTTTCCTGCGTGTGTCTGTTAGTTGTTTATTGTTTCATTCGTGCTGCTATTCTTAATTGCTATTATTTTGTTTCGTGTTCCCAGTTGTACTCTTAGTCTTACTCTTACTCTTCGGATTAGTCATTGTCCGTATTAGAAAAGGAGGACGAAGAGGAGGAGGATAATAGGAGCAGGAGGTGGAGGAAGAGGAGGAGGAAGAGGAAGATGAGGAGGAGGAGAAAGCGGTGGAGGAGGAAGGAGGAAGGAGGAGGAGGAGGAGGAGGAGGAGGAGGAGGAGGAGGAGGAGGAGGAAGAGAAAGAGGAGGAGGATGAGGAAGGAGGGAGGAGGAGGAGGAGGAGGAGGGGCAGGAGGAGGAGCACGAGCAAGAAGAGGAGGAGGAGGAGCAGGAGGAGGAGGAGGAGGAGGAAGAGGAGGAAAAGAAGGAGGAATAGGGGGAGGAGGAGGAGAAGGAGGAGGACGAGGAGGAGGAGGAGGAAGAGGAGGAGGAGGAGGATGAGGAGGAGGAGAAGGAGCAGTAGGAGTAGGAGGAGGAGGAGGAGGAGGAGGAGGAGGAGGGGGGGGATGATGATGGTGGTGATGATCGATTCTTCCAGATTCTTCCATATTCTTCTAGATTCTTCTAGATTCTTCCGAATTGTCCCAGGTTCTTCCAGATTCTTCCGGATTCTCCCAGACGCCATCAGGTTCTCGGAGATTTCTGTGGATCGTCCGACAAGCACCAAAGCGTCAAGCGCCGGCAAGATCTTAATGACCCCCCCGCCCTCCTCTGTCTTGTCTTGCGAAAGGTTCGACCCCGTGGCTGAAGCGAGTGAAAATAAGCTCTGGCTGAGTCAGGCCAGCTGGCTCAGGTCCACAAGGCGCTTTTGGAGGAAGCCGAACCAGCACCAGAAGAGCGCTCTTCAGAGGGTTCAGACGAACCTGCCCCTGTCAGATAAACCAGCGGGCTCCCCTTTTTCTTTTCTTTCACCTGAGTCTCGGCTTGGTTTCCTGCCGCCTGTCAACATCCATCGTGCTCTTCGCCCAGCCTGGCCACAGGACGGGCAGAAGGGCGAGATGCGCCTCCAGGTAATGCAGGACTCGGCCAGGTCACGCAGGGAGCTGATGGCCATGCGCAGGCGCCGGCCCCACCTGCCCGCGCCGGGCGATGGCAAAGGAGGGATCTGGACCTCCAGCGACTCGACGACAGAGGGTCTGAGCTTGCGCGCGGCCTGTAGCCGTTTTTGTCGGAGCCTCTCTTCTCGGAAGGGAAGTTTCTTTCGCGTCGCCGCGGCTTGATTCTCCCTGCGAGATTCTGGCCAGGGCGCAGCCTGGGGCAGGCTGCGGGTGCCCATCTTTTGTTTCTGCCGCGCGGGGGCAGACCTCGGAGGCTCCAAGACCGTGCGGTGACGGACCGCGTGGCGACCCCGGGATTCCCAACGACCTCACCGCGCCGTCCGTGACCGCACGGTCTTGGGTCGTCGGAGGCCCCAGTCGTCCGAGACGTCCTCGGAGAACTACATGAGTCCCAACACCGTGCGGTGGGTCCGAACCCCATTAACTCACCCCTTGGTGTGTGGTCACCGCACTGTTTGGGGCTTCCCGAAGGGCACACCGAGCCGGAGGCTTTTGATCTTCGCGATGCTGACAGAGCGGCCAGGGACGAACGGTTGGCCCAGGGGGAGGTGTGGAAGGCCACCGACTTCAAAGGATCGAGCCGTCGAATGTCTGAGGAGGTGGCAGGGGGGAGGACAAGGAGGAGGAGGAGTAAAAAAAGGAGGAGGAGGAAGGGGAGGAGGAGGAGGAGAAGGAGGAGGAGGAGGAGGAGGAGGAGGATTGGGAGAGGGATGAGAGGGAGGAGGATGCAGTCGGACCGAGGGGGAAGGATTGAGGCTGACCGCGGATCGGTCGGCTTGGAAGTCAGCTGCGTTCCGTCGGGCCGGTCTGGTCTGTTGCCGTGCCTTTGTTGCGCCACGGCGTCCTGGCTGCTTGCGGCCAGAGGGTCTCGGTCTCGCGGCCCACTTCCAGAAATTTGAGCATATACATTACCAGTGGCGGGCTGTTGTTCAATCCCAGGACTTTCCTTGCGGGTCGGGGGCGACGTCGATGTGGTGTGGTGTATATTTGTTTCCCCGTTTTCCCGTGGAAGCAAGAAAGATTGTATACACCAGGATGCCGTATACACCATGATCCATTTTCTTGTGCGAATCCCAGTGCGGGACCGGAAAAAAGCATCGGTGTATAAAGTTCGGTTCTTTACACTTGGCCAGTCCTCGGCCGTCCTATTGCCCTGGACGGCCTTGAGGAGGAGTCGGGAGCAGTGTGCTGTGCACACGCGCCAGTCCTGGCCACTCCCTTCTTGGGTTGGTGCATGTGCATACACGTCGGTCGTTGAACGTAGGTATTTTCGATACCCGAGCCCCAATCTACTTAAAGCGCCTCCCTACTTCAATAGTCGGTATGCTGTTCCTATATGTTGTGATCCGTATGGGCTTCGCCTCCTGCCGCCGGCCCCCTCTCTATCATAATGGGATATATCAGAGTCGCGTCGGTGCGTCTCGGCGCTGCCTTGGCGCATCTGGGAACATCATGCGGGGGCGGATCGGAATCATCAGCGCATACTGATACGTTGGCATCATCGAAGACGCTTACTGCGAATTTCCGCCGCCCCCTGCCTTCTTGGAAGCGCCTGCGTGGCCGAAAGTTGGGTTTGAGCTTGGCCAAGCTATCGGGCCACGTGTTCCCCGAGTGGGTTTCGAAAGCCTTCGGGGAACACGGAGTCGGGCGAGCCATCGGACCAGGTGGTTTCCGAGCATTCGGGCCTCGTGGAGGACGTCTTGGAGGGGTCTTGGGCCGTCTTGGAGGCTTCTGGCGGGGTTTTGGGCAGTCTAAGGCCATCTTCAGGCCATCTGGGGCCGTCTTGGGTGCATCTTGCGGCCATCTTCGCCGTCTTGGAGGCCTTCTTGGCCGTCTTGGAGACATCATTGAGGCCATCTTGGCCGGCTTGGAGACCATCTTCGGCGTCTTGGGGGCCCCTTGGGCCGTCTTGGGGTCTTGATGGGGCCCTTTCGGGGGCCTCTTGGCCTGTCATGGGGCCATCTTGGAGGCCTCGTGGGCGCTCTTGGGGCGATGTTGGGGGCCTCTTGTGCCGTCTTGGGCCGTCGGAGAGCTGAACAGAAAAACAATGCCGAAATCCTTCAAGCAGCAAGGGGACATCAATGATTTTGGCCTCTTTGGGCCTTCCTGGTGGAGCTCTTGGAGGCCTCTTGGGGCCCTCTTGGAGCCGTCTTGGGCCGTCGTGGAGGCTTCTTGGACGAACTTCAAGGCGTCTTGGACTCTCTTGGGCCGTCTTGGGGACATCTTGGACCATCTTGGGCGGACTTGGAGGCCATCTTGGAGGCCATCTTGGGCCAACGTGACCATCTTGGAGGCCTTGAGCCGATTTGGAGGATTTTTGTTGGGACGTTGAGGTCGTTTATGGGCCTTTCGGGTGGTCGGCGGGACGGGCCAAAGCCCCGGCCAGAGTTCTTTTTGGAACATAGCCAAAACCAAAAGCGAAAGGGTCTAGCACGCCAGGCACCCCTGTGATGAATCAACAGGGGGCGGCAGACACATGGGTTATATGCCCCAACTTGATCGAACAAGTACCACTTGAGAAATATTTGCGGTTAAAAAGCATGCACCATTCAGCGGAACGTGTCTCTTGAGCCTTCTTCGGCGAACCAACGGGGCCATTCCCATTGCTCCACGTTGTGAGGTTTTCGAAACGCTCCGAAGGTTTCGTAACTAGCGCCCTGATATGCGAAAAACCATTGCGCGTGCTAAGCAGAGCTGAATCAATCGATGTCGCTATATGTCGCTGGACACGCCTAGGCGCCGAAATTTGAGTTGGAGCTTGCCCCAGCTATGAATCCACGTGTTCCCCGAATAGGTTTGGAAAGCCTTCGGGGAGCACGTGAAGAGGAAGAGGCAGTGAAGAGGAAGAGGCAATGAGAAGACGGACAAAAAACACAAGGAGGATGAGCAAGAGTAGGATGAACTCATACCGGAGGAGGAGGAGGAGGAGGAGGAGGAGGATGATGCAATGACAAAGGAAGTGACATGTTGGGAGTCGCTGGGGCATCTTGGGGCCACCTGGGAGATTCCTGGTTTCTTGGCGGCCTTTGGGCCGTCTTGGGACGGTTTTAGCCCGTCCGAAACCGTCGGGGGCGTTTCTGGCCCGTCTGACGCCGTCGGAGGCTACTGGGAGGGCCTCGCTGGAGTCTCTTGGGGCGATTCTAAGCCGTCTCCTGGGAGCCCTATGGCCAAATGTTTGGAGCTAGAGATTCGCGAAGCCATCGGACCAGGTGCTCTCCCCGAACTGCCGTGGAAATCTTTTGGGGAACGCTTGGGGGACCATGGCGCGGAGGATCAGGAGAGGGAGGAGGAGCAGGAGGAGGAGGAGGCGTTTTGAGAGCCCCTTGAGGCACTCTTCAGGCCTCTTGGAGGCCTCTTGGAAACTTTCTTGAGCTTATTGTGAGCTCTTGGGGGCTTCTTGATGGTTTTTGGGGGGCTCTTTGGCCGTCTTAAAACGTTCCTGGCCCGTCTGACGCCGTCGGAATCCGTCTTGGGAGCCTTTCGGAACCGACTTGGGGCACTCGTGGGGCGCTTCAGGACCGCCTTGGTGGCCATCTTGGGCGTTTTGGAAGCCTCTTGGGCCATCTTGGGGCATTATTGGAACCGTTCTGGGGGCGTCTTGGCCGTCATGGGGACATCTTGAGGCCTCTTGGGCGATCTTGGGGCGATCTTGGGGTCCTCTTGGGCCGTCTTGGATTGTCGGAAGGCGGAAAAGAAGCAACTGCGACACTCTTTCAAACACCTAAGGAACATCATTGGTTTTGGCTTCTTCGGGCCTTCCTGGAAGACGTCTTGGAGGCATCTTGGGCTGTCTTGGGGGCATGTTGGGCGCCTCTTGGGCCATCTTCGGCCCTCTTGGGGAAGTTTCCGCCGTCTCGGATGCTATCGCGGCCGTCTTGGAGGTCATCTTGGCAGTCTTGAGGTATCTTGGATACCATCTTGGCTGTTTTTGAGACCTCTTGGGCCGCCTTGGGGCCCTCCTTGGGGCTGGTTTGCAGGCCTCTTGGGACGTTATGGAGCCATCTGGGAAGCCCTGGGATTAGAGCCCGTTTTTTTGCTTGGGGCATGACGGGCGTCATGGCCCCCGCTCCCCCCCCTCCCCCTATGACGTAACGCTCCCGCCCAGTGCGCTCCCGGCACTGCCGCCGTGCGCATTGGGATTCGCGTAGGTGTCCGCGCAGGAATCCGCATAGGAGTCTGGTCCGCAGTCGTCTTCGTCAACGTCGTCGTCCTCGTCGCTCGTGGCTTGTCGCTCGTTGCTCATAGTCGTCGTGCGCGCGGACGCGGCTGAAGCCTGTTTTTTATTCCGGGCCGATGACGGTAACATCTAGGGGTGGTGGAAGGGGTCGATGACGTCACGTTTCGCGCCGGCAGCGTTTGGGAATGCCTAGGAATGACGGAGGACGGGTAGCGCCAGCATGTAGGTGGCGATTTGCACCACATCGCCTGTGTACACCACAGTGCCTGCGTGCACCACAGCGCCTGTGTACACCACGCCGCCTATGTACACCACAGCAGCCGCGTGCAACACAGCGTCAGCTTGTGCCACCGTGCCTGCGGGCACAACAGCTCTTGTGCGCACCACAGCGTTTGCGTACACCACATCAGCCGTGTGCAACACAGCACCAGTGTACACCACAATGCCTGCGTGCATTGCAGTGCCTGTGTGCACCACGGCGCTCGTGTGCACCACAGTCACTGTTCTCAACACAGCACCACTGTTGTATATTGAATGTTAGAACGAATCCTTTTGACAAAATGGAGCGCTTGTGGATTCCACAGAAAACGATATAAATAATCCTTATGGTCAACGGAGCTCCGCTGGAATCTACGAGTCCTCCCGGGTCCGCCCGCATCACCCTAACTCGTCCCATTTCCGTCCAGGAGGCTCCAGCTAAATTGGCCGTCCGAGAACCAAGTGGACCCATTCAATCGATCATTCTGCGGTGCGCGCTGAGATGCGCACGTGCGCTGTAGAGCTTGCCCGCACGACAGGGGGTAAGGAGGAGGAGGAGGAGGAGGA